AAAGAAGCCACTAAGCTATTGAAATAGCTATTTATAAAATACTGGTCTTTACTCAGACTATGATACTCATATTTTACAGACATTTCTAAAACAGCTCTCTTTTTCGTGGTTTTCAGGCTATAACTAATAAAGGGGATTGTTTTTAAACACTCTGTGTTCTAGGAGCTGAGCCAGGGACCTTCAGTAGGCTATTTTATTTAATCGTTGGAAATCATTATGAGGAAGCATATTTGTTTTTTATTGCTGTAAATAATAACCCCAATTTTAGTGGCTTGAAACAAAACAAATTTATTTTCTTACAGCCCTGGACATGAGAGGTCCAAAATCAGTTTCACTGGACTAAAACGTGTTGGTAACCTGGGTTTCTTCTGGAGGGTCTAGGGGTGAATTGGTTTCCTGCCTTTTTTGGCTTCTAGAAATAGAATAAATTCTTCAGCTTGTGGCCCTGTCCTTCATCTTCAAACTCATCATCCCAAACTGTTTCCAACTTGATATCTTCTCTCTCTTACTCTGGCCCTTCTCCCTCCCATGTACGCAGAAGGTTCTCTGGATGCCACTGGGCCCACCTGGAGAACCCAGGATCATCTCCCCATTTTAAAACCCTGATTTTAATCACATCTCCGCAGTCAGTCCCTTTTAACATGCCAAGAAACATTAATAAATTCTGGGGGATAGTACATCACATCTTTGAGGATAAGGGGTTGATTTTCAGTCTATTGCAGGTAGACACTATTCTACTTACTTTACAGATGAGAAAAAATATAATAATTAACTCCACTTGAGAAATACAGTTCAAAGAGACTAAATAACTTACCCAAACTCACCAAAAAGTGGTCATTGACATACTAATGTAGGTCCTTCTGACCCTAACGCTGTTTCTACTACACAATTCTGCCCCCAAAGTAGAAAGAAAGAAAAAAAAAGATCAAGGAAAGTTTACTTCCTTAAGAGTATATTTTTAAATTGTTTCATTGGTTAAAATATTTATTAAATAATTTTTAATATATTTTATTGATTTTTTTACAGAGAGGAAGGGAGAGAGGGATGGAGAGTTAGAAACACCAATGAGAGAAAAACATCGATCAGCTGCCTCCTGCACACCCCCTAACTGGGGATGTGCCTGCAACCAAGGTACATGCCCTTGACTGGAATCGAACCTGGGACCCTTGAATCCGCAGGCTGATGCTCTATTCACTGAGCCAAACTGGTTAGAGCTTAAATATTTTTATTGAATGGCTACTATCTACTAGTAAATAAAACTTAATTTAGATGCCGAGAGGATTTATGAATCAGGCCTAGTCAGCCCCAGAAATCCCCTATTTTAGCCATATATTTCAATGCCTATAACTCCTAATTCTACATCTACAGACCTGGACAAACTCAACTATCTAGCTGACAACTCCAGTTTCATGTTCTATACAGTTTTTCAATTTGCCGTATCTGGAACTGAACTTTGGAATTCTTTCCCTGCAAATAAGTTTAATCTCTCAGCCTTCTCCACTTCAGGAAAGAGCATCGCCCTGCTTCTCTCCCTCATAGCCCACAGCTAACAAATAATCAAATGCCTGAAATTTGTCTCAAAAATGTACCCTAATGCTATTTATGTCTCATTATTTTCATTAGCCCCAGACTTCTATCTGGTATCTTCATTTCCATTCTTATATTGCCTCAATCTATTTTCCATACACAAACTCCTCTGAACATAAATTGGATTATGTCAATTCCATGGTAAAATACTTCAATAACTACCTGCTACATTTCAGGCATACCTTGATCTGTTTAGGACATTTGTGTGCCTGTTGTCCCAGAGTAAATAGTAATAGAGCCTCCATTCACTTTTTTTTTTAATATATTTTATTGATTTTTTACAGAGAGGAAGGGAGAGAGATAGAGAGTTAGAAACATCGATGAGAGAGAAACATCGATCAGCTGCCTCCTGCACATCTCCCACTGGGGATATGCCCGCAACCTAGGCACATGCCCTTGACCGGAATCGAACCCGGGACCTTTCAGTCCGCAGGCCGACACTCTATCCACTGAGCCAAACTGGTTTTGGCACCTCCATTCACTTTTAACATTATTCCATTTAGACAATAATTTACGTAGCCACCCTATATCAGGGCTTTGTGTAATCTTTTCTCTGCTTACAATTTCTTCCCAGAGCCAGAGCCTTTTTTCCTTAGGACTCCCTGGGGCCTGCTCTGGAGTCTCCCCCATAATTACTTTTCTTCAAAATCTGAACCACAGTGTTTAATCCTATACTTAGTTGTTTTGTTTGTTGAATGTCTGTTCATGCTATTAGGGTATACAGAGAGAAGCAGGCCCATGCTGATGGTGTTTACCCCTAGACACTTCAGTCAGCATAGAACCTGGCACATGGTGGGTGTCCACACAATATGCATTGAAGGATTAATGGCTAAGTAAGCTTGCCATACAGTCAGGGAGTTATGTAAACACACAGTATACCATTTAATAATAAAAATGTGTTCAAGACACCAATGACCAAAACTAATACGGAAGAGGAAGAATTACTTCTGTTTAAAGAGAAAGGTTTACTAGGGAAGGCACCATAAGGGGAGGAAGCCCAATTGGTGCTGATGAATGAAAAAGAAACTATGAGAAAAGATTTCCAAGTAGAAGAGATGGCATTTGCAAAGGCAAAAAAAAAAAAAAAGGTTTAAAACAGTGATTATTCAGGGAACTCAAAGCAGTTTCTTTTATTAGAGTATACAGTCTTGCATAAATGATATATTAATGCCATGTATCCCTAAGGACAAAACCTAAATTATGGAAAACACTGCAGGAAATATAGAGAAGCACTAAGAAATTTGAAACTTAGCTTTGTTTTCATGTACAGCACTAGGATGCTTTGAGAATTCTTATTGCATATTTAGCTCACCTTATAAATTATAGACATTCTTAGATAAGCAAATCACTTTTTGAAGAGTTATATTTGAAACTTCATTACCATAAAGAATCCTCCCAGTAGTGAGTTTGTCATGCAATATTCACAAAATTATAATACATAATCCATAAGAAGCTATATTGAGATTTATGGTATATAAAACTAAACTGGGATTTTCCTTCAAATAATTCTTTTAGTTTTCATTTTAAGAGTTATCTCAAATTTCTTCTTCGAGATATATATTCCTATTCATTCTTTGATTGCAAAAAAAAAAAAGGCTAAGACTACTAAATTAACGTTTTCACATTTATATTATTCAACTGCAAAGATGACTATAACTGTATGATTTATAGACTATCAGGTCATATTTAAAAATATATTGTTATGGATTTTTATTGATTTCAGAGAGAAAAAGAGAAGTAGAGAGGAATAGAAACATCAATAATGAGAGAAAATCATTGATTGCTGCCTCCTGCATGCCCCACACTGGGGATGGAGCCTGCAACTCGGGCATGTGCCCAGACCAGGAATCCAACCATGACCTCCTGGTTCATAGGTAGATGCTCAACCACTGAGCCATGCCAACTGGGAAATCAAGTCATATTTTGATGTAAGAGTTGAAACAGTGAATTAAAACTCAACTCAGGGGTATATATCTAGAAGGAGAAGTTTCTTCAAGAAATATCCTTGGTATAGATAACCATAAATGGTTTACTAAACATAAAACATGTATACCAGAAACTGAATAGTGGTGGACTACAGGACATGAATGCTTTATTTGGCTCTCAGAGCAGTTCAAAGTTTGAGTCAAGATTTAAATTTGGAGAAGTCACATAAACCATCCAGTTCTAGTCCCTCTTTTAAAAATTGAAAACTGAGAATACTGGTGGGAAAACCAGTCTCCTACAGGGGTGTAGTTGCTCTTAAGTTCATCAGAATCACCTCCCGCATCAGCCCAGGTTCTGAGATCCAGACCACTTCCCTCATGTATGTTACATACCTGAAACCTTGTGCCAGACCACTAAAACCCCCAACCATTAAAGACCAATTAGCACTATCAAAATGTCTAGGAAAGTATTAGAAATTTCACATTTTGTAATACTGAAAATTGAATGTACATGCTATTTTCAAAAGTCATCTAAAAATGGGACAATTAAGACATTTAATCTCTTCTTCCTTGGGTTTTGTTTGTTCACTAAATAGCACCAAAACAAATAAGAAGCCAAACAAGTCCAGGATATATCTTCAACACAGGATATATCTTAAACACAGGATATATATTAAATCCAATCTCTGTGAGGACCTAGGGACCATGAAGCCCTCTTAACACCCACCTGCAGCTGAACCTAGGACTTGGTTTTATTTTTTCAGACTTTCAAGAAAAATTTCACTTCACACAATAATTTCATGCCTTACATTTTTAAATCATGGAACTAGACAATGTTCTGGGGCTTTTTAATGCACCAAAAATTTTAACAAGTTGCTATACTCACTTTTTTTAAAAAGGATTCACCACTCCACAAACTTTTTTGGACTGGGTCCTTTCCATGTAATTTTTATATTGCTTTCCTTTCCTTATATATGCACAGCAAACATTTTATGAAGATATCAATTTGTATGTTACGCTTGCCTCTTCAGAATAAATTGAAAAATCTGTGTGTTTCTGTTTGAGCTCTCTTTGAAAGGGCTTTTAAGGGCTTTTGTGCAGGAGGACCCGACATTGCAATTCCAAGGCAGAAGCCTCACTTAGGTTTTGTTTGAGAAATTGACGTATTTCTCTAGCAGTGGAGGTGAGGATGGAGCGTGATTTCCTTTTCCTTTTCCTTATCAAACACAGGTCTATGTATTTTCCCCCTGGCTGGTAAGCTATTTCTTTTATTCTCTGGTCACTATAACAATCCAAAAAAATATAAGTATATCATGCCTTTGATCTGTGGTTTGAGTGTAAATACTTCCCTATACTCTATCTTTTAATTGCAAGCATAATATACTTAAATAGATCAAAAATTTGAAATGTTTTCCATATTGAAACAGTTCTAGATCAGGAAATAGAAAGCTAGAGAAGTCACTTCCACAGGAAGGGATGGGCACGTACCTTAGCTATCTGGACACACCAGTTAAGCAGCAGCTGGGAACCAATGTTATCCTTGTGTTCATGGACGTAATCCAACAGGCAGCCGTGGGGCATAAGCTGTGTCACCAGCTGAATGGTGGGGCTCAGACACACCCCCAACAACCGGACTAAATGTGGATGGTCCATACTTGCCATGATCAGAGCTTCCTGTAAGAAAAAATATAACACCATCATTTCAATTCAAAGTTCTTTACAAATATAGTTAGTTGCACGGCACTAGTGTTGCTAATAAGGATTTTGAAATGCATTCTCACTTAAGAAATCAATTAAAAATAAAGACATTATGTTGCTATTATATTCTTAGTGATTTAACTCAAGTAAAATTAAATAAAAAATAAACACTATGCATGTGTCAAAGTAGAAAATACTTTAGAATAAGTGAATATGAATTTAATAGCAGTATTTTCTCTTTTGTAATACAGAGTATATTAATTGTTATTTACTACCAAATAAGTTGAAATGGAATCCTGCCTTATACCATGGATTTTTCACCTTTGGTCTTTGGTTCTAGAGTTCAGTAATTTATATAAATACAGTTATTTACATGTAGAATAAGGTGATGCAAACTTAAGTCACCCATTATTCATAAGCAATATACCTATTGTGTATTTATGTGAAAAAATAAACATTTCAATAAATATTTTTCCTAAGTCAGCCTTAACTCAAATTTATTTTATTTTCAAAATTATAAGTGACATTTTATTCATAGAATTATAAAATTTGAGAGCTAGTTGAGACAAAAAAAATGATTATTCCAAATTTATTAAATAAGGAAACATTTCTATTTTTATCATAATTATAAAGGCACTTTTGCTTAATGGATATAGATTTTAGTGCATCCTAAAGTGAGTTTCCAATGAAAAATTATTGAAAATGTCTTTATATGAATTTGAAACAGATATGACATTACACACACATACCCCTCCCACACACACACAAACAGGGGTATGATACATATATGACGATTATTACAATCAGTTTACCTACATGAAGGTTTGTTCATTGTACTAGAATAATTTCTGTAGCTTTAAAATATTTTCAAACCAAAAAATCGAGGACAGAAAGCTATATTGAACTTCTTTTTAAGATGGCGTAGCAAATTGAATACACACATTTACTTCCATTTGCTCTTAATTCCAATTTAGTAACAATAAAGGAATTAATAAAAAGCCAGAAACCAAATATCATACAGATGAAGCAACAAGGAAAGAATACTAGAAGTAAGAACTGGCTTGGCAAACATAAGAAATCTGAAGCCTAACTTGGCAAGGGGGAAACTGAGAAGAAATCCGATTGACACCACGGGCATACACAGACGTACACCACCAAAGGCTCCAGGGGTGTTAGCACCATACACCTCGGTAAGCCAAGCAGGAGGGCAGGCATGACTTGCGCAAGATCGCGTCAAAATATATTTAGGAACAACTTGGACTACTGATCTATTCTTCCCTCCATCCTTAGGAGAGAGTAACAAAAAGCACTGTGAACTGTACTATTGGGCACAATAGAAAGAGAAGGACTCTGACAAAGATATTAGACTTATGTAAATTAGCACATGCTGAAAATTGGGCGCACTCTCTAGTTCCTTCTTCCAGAAGGAGCTATGGCTTCAAAATTCTGAGTTTTGTTTAAACCTTGAATTCTATACCCAGGAAAATGTTAACAAGGTGAGTAGATACACAGGCATGTTCAGACATATCTGTTCTTAAAAAATGTTATCTCAGGTGCTTCCTTTCTGTTAGATGTGTGTATTAAATAAAGAGTACATTAAATTGAGGAAACAAGGAAATAGCAGTGATGGAATATTTCAGAATAAAGGATGTGCAGCAGAATGAGATAACAACGTTCAGGCTGGAGTAGAACATGTCACTCTGGAAAGGTGATCCTAGAAGATGAAACTGATAGAATACCTAGTGAGATCACAGTGCATTAAGAGCACCCGGCTGGTGTGGTTCAGTGGTTGAGCATAGACCTATGAACCAGGAGGTCATGGTTCAATTCCTGGTCAGGGCACATGCCTGGGTTGTGGCTCAATCCCCAGTGTGGGCATGGAAGGCAGCCAATCAATGATTCATCATTGATGCTTGTCTTTTTCCCTCTCCCTTCCTCTCTGAAATCAATTATATATATATATATATATATATATATATATATATATATATATATATATGTGTGTGTATATATATATATATATATATATATATATATTTTAAAGTACAATAAGAGCATATCTACTTTTCTAGCAAAGGGGAAAATCAAATAGTGATAGATATATAGAAAAGTAAGGAAAAAGGAAAAAGAATAATTTGATGTGAAACAAGAATTGCACTAGAATATAATTGTATTTACTACAGAACATGGCTGGAAATAGTTATATAATCATAACAACGTAAACACGAAATGCTGAAATAAGCAAACATCATATGACTAAATTGGAAAATGAGGGGCAGGGAGGTACACTTTAGCAAAGTGGTGATGGAAAGGGTGTAAAAGATATATTCCTATTGTTTTAATACTATATGATGCATAAAACAAAACAAAAAAAAAACAGGAGTTGACAGTATAAACATATTATTTAGATATATGGAGCTAAGCTACAGGAGAAATTGCCAAAAAGTTGGAAGTGATTGCTTTGGTCCATGGAAAATGGGGTCGGAGAAGGGAGAGGTAGGTAGCTAGAGACTGCTGTTTTTCATCTTTAGCCTTGAAGCAGCACTTGGCTTTTATTGTTATTATCTTAAAGCTATTTCTGAGGCCATTATTCACTTTTAACCTCCACTACTGTTTTAGCGGTGTTGAGTTCAGTTGAGTTTAAAGATTATTCACAATTATGGGGTGTGTCTGGTGGAGTATATAAATTGACTGAATCTAGCCAGAGTCTTAGGTGAGGTGTAACATTTTAGTGTTTGAGTAAGTACGGGTGGGACAGTATGGGCAAACGCCTGGAGAAAGGAGTGATTCAGGTCCACACAGAAGAAATAAGCTGGTAGGATGGTATCAGCTTTACTCAAAGAACTTTGTTTTAGAGTCAGTTTTGCAGAAGTTGAAACCATCACTTCCCAGATGCTTCCAAGTAGGTTAGGTCCTCCAATTCCCCTTCCCGAGACACCCCAGGAACCAGGCGAGTCAGAACACCAGCTTCTATGCTTCCTGGCTGAGACCACCACAACAGCACCTTGAAGATGGGAAGCCCAGAGAGGCATCACCTCTGGCAAGGGCACTGGCATTCTCAGGGGGTGCCAGTCAACAGTGCCAGGGCTAGGACCTCTCAGTGGCTCCACCTGGGGGCAAGAGCTGGTAAGAAAGGACAAGGACCCTGTAGATACCACAGGGTGACTGAACTAGGAGACTGGTTTATGAGTGTGTATGAGACACCCAGGAACATCCCAAACTATTTGGGAAAGGTTTACTGGCGACTGGAGTTTCTGCAGAATCAGCAAAGCCAGAAACTTGAGTTATTACGATTGATGTGGCCCCAGCTATATCAACACTTTGGTTTTACTTACTGTATATTTCAGTAAACATGTGAAGTAAAGCAAACCACTATGGTTATAGGAGAGTGCAGAGAGGAATGACAGCCAAGTTAAATGACCTGTTATGCAATCCAGTACAAAGACTAGTTGATTAATTCAACATTAATTAATATTAAGAGTGTAAGTCAGAGGGTTCATGTGCTGATATGCACACATAGAAATATGCACACACATCAACGAATAAGCAAAACATACAATCAAATGAGTATCTAACTTAGTCAAGTACCAAATTAAATATTTAATTAGCCACTCAATATCAGCTATCTCGTTAACTTAAATATAACCTGATTGTATTCTCTCTATTTTTCTTCTCTGGTAGCTCTGTCTTTCATGTGCATAAGGGTCACCTAAGTTTATCCCAAGTGTAGCATTCTTGATCCCACTCCCAGAAAATCAGGTGCAGAAATGGATCAGAAGTCTGCACTTGTATCAAGCTCCCTAGATGAAGCACTGTAGGTAATAGAAAACTCTGAGAACTTCTAGAATACCTCCATTCAATCTGTGTCTCTATAATCTATTTCAAAAGCAGTAACATGCAACAGTGTTTTGATCCTTTTTATAACCCTATAGAGCAGTCAAAAGAAGTAGTAATTCTCTGCTGTAAAATGAGGGTGAGTAGGATTGCTGCCTCAGATCAGCTCCCAAGTGAGTAACAGGGTCAGGTTTAAGACTCCAGCTTTCTGATTCTTAGCACAGTGCTATTTATTATGACAGTGAAAATATGATTATTTTTACTTCAGTTCCATCAGCACTCCTCACTGTAGATGCTTGTCTTTTAACAAGAAGACAGCCTCAGACACCTGAATTAGCCATACCTCTATAAATGGGGTCTAATTCTACTTTAGTCCCCGAGAAGCAACTAAAGTCAAACAACAAATCTGTGCTTACAGTTAAACTGCTATCACTTATGATATGCTTTTTCAGAAAAAGACAAAAAAAAAATCTCTCTGATTTCCTAAGAGTGTTATCTGGTACAGACCATTTCTTAAGATAAAGAAAACAATAAAATGTCAGGTAAAAGAGAGATTTTGAGTTTATTTCAAGCTTCTTTTTAGCATGGAATATATAAACAATAGGTGTGTTTTTTCTTTCCAACTCAAGGAGTAATGATAATTCTATTCTAAATATGCATTTGAAAAGTTTACATCAGCAGAATGTGAAAAAAATCACTTGAAAGTTCTCTCTAAAATATCTATTAGTAAGTCCTGGCAAAAAAGCTGGGTTGTATTAAGGAAAATTGCTCATTACACTACAAAGAGTATTTGAAACAAAATTGCAGAGTATTTGCATAATAGTTCTCTTCTTTTTTTTTGAGAAAGAAAAGATGAACAAGACACTAATTGTAGGTTTTATTTTTTCATAAAGAAAATAGCAGATGGCTTTTTTGAGGGATAGGGAAATAGATAAAGAAATGAGAATATGGATTCATTTAGAGCGATGAGTGTGATGCAAAAGAAAAAAAAAATCCAGTATTTTAATAATAGAGTGTTGGGTTTCAATAAATCACTCTGTGTTAAAACTAATAATGTGTGCTGCTCCACATTTCGTGTGGCCCATGGAAAAAAATTTGGAGTCTTTGCTGCTGTCACTAAAAAAATATCACCAAGGCCACTG